CGGCGTCAATCTGTTGACCTCGAAAATTGGACTTTCCACGTGGCCAACCGAGAGCTACTCCACGTATTCCTCCCCGCGCACAATCAATGCACGGTCAGACGCACACGGCAGGGACCAGCGGAGGTGGTGGCGTCCGTATACACTCCGACAGTCAAGTCAGGTTCAGGTGGTCGGAACAGTACCCAGGGGTTGTGCAAAATAATAAGGGGAGGAGAAAATATATATGCTTGCTATGGAGGGCTACGTAGTAAGAGTTTCATTACCTTTGCCTCTTGCCAACCCTTAGGTATTTATAGGTGGGATGAACCGTTGGATGTGGGACACGTATATACATCTGACGGTATGAGGTGTCTGCTCATAGACATCAATCAGCCTCGTCTGTAAAGTGGGCGAGTAATTGCTTCTCCCGAATTGAGTTGACATAAAGTTGATAAGTCACATCAACTAACTTCATGAAGACGTCAAATCAATTTAAACCTTAGGGGCAGAAAGGATCTTGGCAAAAATCTCCTTCTGAAATTGGCAACGGATCTTCTGAAATTCGTTTTTTTGACAATTCAATTTCATCTTTGCAATCAAAAGGACCCTACGGGAAAATTGATTTTCTTATGTTTTTATAATTTATAGCTAGGTTTAAGCCCCATTTTTTGAAAAATCAATTTTAACACATTTTTCAATAAAATAATTTTACAAGTAAATCAAAAAAATTTCTTGTTTTTTTAATCACATATTCTTCAAAAAATAATTATTCCATAGTACATTTTTTCCTCAAAATGAAGCTCAATCAAGGGCCTAATGTATCTTAACAAACTCTTCTACAAGAAGTTTAAGTAAAAGCAGAAATCTTGTCAATCGGACCCTGAAATCTTTCGGGCGTACATGGGTCGGTTCAAAGGATGGGTCTTCTCGACTGACTCGATTAAGAATCTAATAACTTATAAGAGCTCTCTTTCCAAGTATTTGAATAAATTTGTTGTTCATTTTGTTATATATAATTTCGCATTCTTAAGGATATCAATCAAGTAGTCAGGACTGGCACTAATGTCTCGAGGTCATGAGTTCTAGTTTCATCATGATGTTAGCGGTCGTCTTGTCGAAATTCTGAATTTTATGATAAGACCAAAGAAAAATGAGCAAAATTTTAAAATGTTACGAAAGTACAATGTATTCGTGTTTAACTGTCGTACAAGTTAGGAAATGCAAATACGTGTTTGGCTAAGCTTAAAGATAGTTTAAGCAAATAATGTATTTAAAGAATGACTTTCACAAGTAGGAAGCTAACTTTAATGAAAAATTATAAATACTAAAACTTAGTTACTAATAAGTAATTTCTTATACATAGCCAAACATGCAGGATCTAGGAATTATCTAATCCAACGGAAATTAACTGCAAATTAATTAACAGTATAATAAAGTACACTATATGTGGAATGGCTCAATTTTTATGCATTATTTCTTAGGTTATTAGACAGCTTCATTAATTTCAAACCCTCTTTTATTAGTTGTCAACACTCCTCCAATTAATTATCTAAATTGAATCCTCGAATTAAGAAATCTTCTCAAATATTCTTTATGATGTATGTTAATTTATGGAGTATTCAAACGTTTTTTTTCTTGTTTTAAAGATAATTTTCAAATTTATGTAAAGAAAATGGGAAATTTACAATAGCGGTCTCTAACTTTTTCATTTTTGCAGACCTTACTCTATTCTTCATTTTGTGTCAGCGGAAGTTCCTAACCCTTCATAAATATGCACTTGATGTCCATCTGAACGAAAATCGTTCAAAACAGCGTCAATTGATTGAAAAAATTAAGGATCAATATGCAATAAAATCTCCAAAATATCGTCCAAAAAGATATCAACATCCAATAAAATCGTTGCGATAACAGATAGTTTGAAGAATTTTTCCGGTCAACTAACAGTTTTCGTCTAGATGGACTTCAAGTGCATATTTATGAAAAGTTAGGGACTTTCGCTGAATGTTAGGATAAAGTCTGTAAAAAAAAAACGAAAGGTTAGGAGTCGCTGTTGCAATTTTTCCGAATTTTTAGTTCAGTTTAAAATAAGAAAAAATATTAACAATGCCGATCTGGTAGAACAGTCGAATACTTGAATTAGATGAAATTAAACAATGATTAATAAATTTTATATATTTATTAACTATATGAATCTTAATCATTTCAACATATTAATTATAAAAAAAAATAACATAAAAAAATAAATTTTATTACAACAATTTTGAATTAGAAATTTAGCTACCTTTAAAAGTTTTTTTTTTTTTAACCAAATAAGGTATTTTCAAAAAATTATCCGAATATGTTAAAAAACAGTTTAGTTATTTAATAAATAGCTTTTGATTTTTAAAGTCTGATCAAATGAACCCTTTACCACTTTAGACTTTTAAGATTATAAGTAACTTATAGACTTTTTCAAAAGTTATATACCAAATGGTCGATAAATAAACGTAAAGAAAAATTCTTAAATAGAGTGGTGACACCGTCAGAGCCGTGGCTTCGACACTTGGCTACTTTACGTCATTCCCGCGTTTTACATCTCTGGCACCCACATATCACTCTTCCAAATTGAGAACCCTTCTTTTCCTTTTACTTTTTTTGGAAGAACCCACAAGAATCCATAAAAATTGTAATTGCCATTAAAAAATTATACAAATTTTATCATAGAAATCTTTCTAATGACAAGTCAAAAGAAACGAAGTATTGATGTAAAATTAACTCGTGCATTGATTCAAAAAAAATGAAAAAAAAAATTTACATATTAGAAAAATATATTTTTTGCTATTCCGATCGATCATTTTAAATATTAGAGATAAGAAATGATCAAATATTTTATTTTGGAATTGGATTTATTTTTTAATACGAATTATTCACTTTAACTTGGAGTAATGTTATTTGTATTCATTCACTGCGATAGTCGTCCTATGTAACATCATATATAGGGATTTGTGATTTGATGTGTTAATGTGATAGTTTTTTCTTACCTCATATATCAAATCACTAACTGTCATATATATGTCATCATGTAGGACGACTGCGACAATGAGTGACTGCAAATAACATTATTGCTTTTGTAAATAAGAATTTACATAATTTTATTAGTGATAAAAATAGTATAGATAAACACACAACTTTTCCATATATGTGAAGGATAGACTTGTCTCTGAGAATGGGCTTGTTCAAAATATCCGTACAAAGATATTAAAAGCAATTCCATTTGCCGTAGCGTGTATTTGGTTTCTCGTGGACTGAAATTCCCCTTGATCAGCGGAATATAATACGGGCAATTTGTCGGCTAACTTTTTTTCTCATAAAATAATCTCAAAATTAATGTTTATTTTTGTTTGTTAGGATAAGTTTTGAACTTATTTCAAGTTTACATATTTAAATTTTTCTCTTTACTAGGTCTCTCCCTATCAAAATTTTGGACCTATTCGTCGGTACGAAGTCAAAACACAACCAAACTTTTATAAATTAGTGAAATAAAATTTTGGCAATTTACCATTTTCTATTCAACCTCAACATTCAAAATGGAATATTTCATTCCAATTATGTTGACTTCAAATACTACATAACTCAATTGTCAACAGATCTCACTCTTTTCTAATTGGGTTGTGCTATGGGTACATTATGGATACCATAATGATGTCCATAATGCACCATGTCCATAATGCACACATGGTGCCCCCTATTGAAGGGGCGCCGGGTCCAATAGGGGGCACCATGTGTGCATTATGGACACCATTATGGTGTCCATAATGTACACCAAGCATTATTCTTTCTAATTTACGTTTATGTTATCCGTACATTTAGACATCGGTATCAAACGGCAATTGAATATAATATATTGGACATGGGAGAGAAATGATAAACTGAAATGTAGATGTCGGGTTGAATATTATCAATTTTTCGTTGAGATTTTGCATTAGGATTCAAGATTACATTTGAATGTCAGTACGTGTAAGTATTTATAGCCAAGAGAGATGAATCAAAAGTCCATTGGATGTGCTGACACGTGAACTCATCCTAATGAATCACTGATCAAGCTCAATTATGTCTATTCAAAACTATATATTGTGTTAGTTCATATTTGTCTTAGTTATGCAGCCTCCCTAGCTTGAACATATACTAAAAAGTTTTGATTGAATAACCTTACTATAGAATTGTCACATCAATCAATCAAGCGTATTGTATAACTGTGTCTTGGTCAAGGCGCAACTTGTGGAAGTGGTACATCACATGAAATGTCACTCGCCTCAAAGTTGTATTGCAATAGGAAGGTGATAAATCGTTTCGAATAATAACATTTCGAGCAAGGAATTTAAAGAGACATGACTTAATCATCTCAGTGGACACATAGAAGAGGAGATGTCAAAGAGAGTGTTGACCTTGCGTGATCTCTTTTTTTGCTTCTTGTTCAGCTGACTGTCACTTAACCCATCTCGTAGATTGAGACGTAACATATTATATAAAAGATAGGTCTATAATTTCTAGAGGAGATACGAGTAATAATCTTAATACATAAGGTCAGTTTAGCATGCTTATTAATTTGTCGAAAAATAATACTCTCTTTATACCCCAAAAATAGAATTGCTTCCATTTTAAACATATTTAGAAAATATAATATATTATATTTGGAATAACAACATTTTCTTACATTTTTTGTAATATACCTTTATTTTGAATAATGTTTTAAATATAAGTAGACACGTTAAATAAGGACATATTGACAAATTAATAAATTAATTATACTCGTAACATGTAAATTTATTTATAATTTAAAATAAATGAAAAAGAAGGTAAACTTATCTTTCATGGAACGAATTAAGAAAGAATAGTTTTGGCCGGCATATAAAATGAAGAAGCACACACTTCCAAATTCAAATCACTAACCATTCAAGTTCAAACTCAACATAATAATAATAATAATAATAATAAATAATAATAATAAGTTAATAACCAACCAGTTGATGATATATATATACACACACATACAGATCACAATGCAGAATACCGTGTTTCTCTGTGTACTTACTTCACTGCAAGAACAGTTCTCAAAATCCAAACCCCGTCGACAAATCAAAAATCGAGGAATCTGTCAATTTCATCGTCAAAACCAACCACTTACCCCAAAAAGCTGCCATTTTTATAAATTCGCCAAATTGTTCTCTGATTTTGGTATTAACTCTTCCTCGTTGTTGGTGAGGCGAAAAATCTAATTCTGTTCAATTTGCAGGCTCTTATGGGGAAAACAGGAAGAGACTGGACACAGATCTATGCGATCTATGGAGTAGACGATTGGCAAACGCCATTGTTTCTCCTTATTCATGCTATAGCCTTTTCAATTCTTTCGCTAATCTTCCTCCTTTACTTTGATTCCGTGTGCTATCTCTTTCAACATTTTCTCGCCGGTCCAGGATTGGCTCGCTTTGCGGCGGGTTTTAGTGGATCAGTCACGGCTCTATCCGCCGTCTGTCTCTTTTTTGCCGCTGCAAACTTCTTCTACTCGGCCGTCTCCCTCCACTGGGATATGTCCCAGCGTATAGTCTCCTCCATCCCCGACTGGTCCTCCGTCAAGCATGCACTTGACCTTGGCTGTGGCCGCGGCATCCTCCTAAACGCCGTCGCCTTACAGCTCAAGAAATCAGGTTCTTCCGGCCGTGTTGTCGGGCTCAATCCGACTCAGAACGGGACAAATCAATTTCCCAACCCGACCAGCACCCTCCGGACCGCTACACTCGAGGGTGTTCAGGAGTACGTCACGTGCCGTCCAGGTGACCCGAGAACACTTCCCTTCAGTGACAACTGCTTCGACGTGGTGGTGTCGGCCGCGTTCGTGCACACAGTTGGAAAAGAATTCGGACCCAAGTCAGCCGCGGCGGCGGCTGAGCGGATGCGCGTGTTGGCTGAGGTGGCGCGTGTGTTGAAACCCGGCGGAGTAGCTGTGGTGTGGGACATAGTGTACGTGCCGGAGTATGTGCAGAGACTACACGAATGGAAGATGGAGGAGATTAGAGTGTCGGAGCGCGTGACAGCTTTCATGGTCAGCAGCCACATCGTATCATTTCGGAAGCCACGTCAGCATTTTATAGGGTCCAATGAAGTGAGATTAGATTGGAGATTCAACAATCTCTGTTGAAAAAAAATAATAAAAATAAAAAATAAAAATCATATGAAAAGTCATATGATTATAGTATATTGTTTTTTTTTTTTTTTTTTCTGTCCTTTCGATTTTAGTGGATCGACTATCACTTTGATTTTACTCTGTCCAAAAATAAAATCAAATTGATAAAAATAGCTAAATTTTATTTAATTTTGCATGTTAGGGTTGTTGGAAGGTCAAAATCGTACGACTGTGAAAGAGAAATGAGGACCCCAGAGTATGGGTTGGATGGAGTGAGCAATAAATTCTTGGACCCAATTTTTATTTGAATAATGCAAATCTAGCATTAGTGTTGAATCCCCTTTTCCTTATCGAGAGGGCAATCTTCTCTTACGGCCTTCACCTCCCGCCCGGCTCGGCATATATTATAGGTCCTATTAAAAATGTTATATTTTTTTTATATAATTGAATCTGTAATTTAGTGTCAATAATGTGTCACTACACTGATGTTAATACACTAATTGTGTTAAATTACATTACTCTTTTTAATTTGTAATACTTGATTTTTCCAAATTTGGTTAATATTGTGTTTTGTATATTATTTGATTGAAGTATGGCAATGTAATGGTGTAGCCCTACCATTCATGCGTAGTAATCTTAGCACAAGATTTTCAATCATGCTAGGGTGCCAAAAAAATTTTGACACATTAATTTGACATGCACTCTCAATAGGGGTGAGTAGGGGGGAACTTTTTACATTTTTTATTCATGCGGATTCCACGCGAGTCCCACGCACAAACGAGAATAGGTCATCCAAAGTGTCAAAATTTTCTGGCTTAATTGCACGAATTTATTAATTTTTTTTATATAAGTCATCTCTAATATCGAAAGTTGAATGGATTGAAGTGATACAGAAAAAATGAAATAAATTTAAATAAAAATAATTTTTGCGATGATCCGGTCTTTGAAGTGGGTTTATAAATTAATATTGTCTAATAGTGACATCCCTTTGAATTAATTGGAGAGGCGGAGGCCTATAGCTGTTTATTGAAAGTACATAATTAGTTGCATTGAATGACAAGTTAATATAAAATAAAATAAATACTAATTTACTATTTTCTTTTTCTATATCAAATTGGACATCGTTTTCAAGTCACCATCCTAATTCTTTCTATGGATATCAACTCAAGAACATTAATTTGCATAGATTTTTAAATAGATAATTTACCAAATTCCACTACAGCTTGGCTCAATATGTTTAGACATAATAAATAGAATCGTGTTATACGTACATAATGGTTTACCTAATCGTTTACCTACTACTTACATCATTTGAGTGGGATCTCGGTTCGAATTATTAAATAACACATGGGGCCCACATGTTTGTGAGGGGGGTGTAAACGGTTCGGTACACCCCCCTCGGTACAAATGGTTTATTCCTAATAAATAAGTAGATGCTTTTTTTTCCCTAAAATAATCGAACTTACATTCGGCTCGACTCGAATGAAAAACAACCAATTTTATTGCTTGAGGCTAAGAAGACAGTTCCTAGAGAAGTTGAGAGTAAGAAAAATAAAACAGAATGTATCATTCAAATTTGCTTTTTTCATGTGATGAAGCTGCTTTATCTTTTGAATAAGGACAGCAAAACATAGCTTTAATGAACAAAGAGAAACATAATATCCATCATGGGACCTATTTCAAGAAATGGTGTCGTTCTTATAGGAGTTATCAGATGGGACAATAATAATTTTATCGAAGAATCGAGGAGTAAGGAGATAAACTGAATATTTTTACACCAATATACGAAGTTTAGAGTAAGAAAAATAAAACAGAATGTATCATTCAAATTTGCTTTTTTCATGTGATGAAGCTGCTTTATCTTTTGAATAAGGACAGCAAAAACATAGCTTTAATGAACAAAGAGAAACATAATATCCATCATGGGACCTATTTCAAGAAATGGTGTCGTTCTTATAGGAGTTATCAGATGGGACAATAATAATTTTATCGAAGAATCGAGGAGTAAGGAGATAAACTGAATTTTTTTACACCAATATACGCACAAAAGATTGAAAAGTATTACGTACTAAACATACTACTATTAATTAGAAGCTGAATCATTGCATCACTTTAATTGATTAAAAGTTTAGGATAAAGTCACTAAAAATTTAGCATGCTTTAGTGCTTCTACACCTCTCTCTCTTTTTCTAAAACGGTCTTTGTTTTTTTAATTATTAGAGCACGAGATACAGGACAAAATAAAACCCAATAACAAGGGAAAACACGATCATCACTACTAAAGGCGGAGTTCTTGAGAGAGTTTTCAACACGAATCCACACACGGCTCCTATTTCGAGTTTCTAACATTTACAAGATGTTGGGAAATTTAGCGAAAATCGAAACACGTTTCTTCATTCCAGCAATAATGAGTCAACAAGGTATCAGATCATACAAATATCTTGGACAATCAAATAAATTTTCCCTTCAACAAACGACATTTTGCTTGTCGTATCCACAATGTAAAAACCCCCAGGGCACATCTCCAAGTGGTAAAATGGGAGGGTAAAGAAATCCAACTTTGTTTGAAACTGCCGCATCAAAGGTTCAAATCCTGAAATATGGATTTGACTCTTGAGTAAGTGCAAGTGTACAAGCAGCCTTCCACCCTATACCCTTGGAAACATAACCTGCGATTTACCTCCCTCACGATACTCTAGAGCAGGGGCGGGGGAGACCCTTAAGGTTGGGGTTCAACCTTTTTTTTTATCCACAATGTAAAAAGTTGAGTATTGCTTAAATACAAAGTTTATGAGCAGGTACAAGTATTGCCTATCCAGAACTGTTATATAACTTGCATTTAACATTAGATATTAGATGGAACAGTTGGGTAGGTGTGTGGTGTCAACATCGTTTCACATACTTCAATATAGGTGGAGGATTGACAAGGTTGGATTGAGACTGAACATCTGACCTGATATTTGCAATATTCTACCGATGGAGTATTCAAGATTTGAGTGGAAAAACTGGCCCAAGAGTTGATGTCATTTAACATCAAGCACCAGCCAATTCTCTACATCAACTACACAGTAGTGTGCTCCCACTAGATTTTTTCCCAACCCCACAAAGAAAATGCAAGGATTTTCCATTTACTAATGAGCATATCATAACAGAAATACAAATAAACATTCGTTTATCCAATGTTGGTTAGCATGAGATAAAACAACATAAAATGCATTCATGACGTACAAAAGAAGTTAACAAAATGAACCACATTCAGAAACATCATTCATGACTCTTACATGTTAATGTCTGGTCCATAGAAGAAAATTTTCTGATCAGGGTGTTTATAAAAATCTAGAAACAATGAGCCAAACATAGGTCAAGAGCCGCCGGTGCATCGCACATTATCAGATATGTCATTTATTGTGGAATAGCCAAGCAGAAAAAATAAAAATATTTCCTTTCTCATCTCATTTTCGTATACATGGTATTTCTCAGTTTCAGGTTCTATTCTACAATTCTCAAGTGCAACTGTACATGAGCGGAGAAATTACCCAGTCTGTCCATCTCAACACTAAAGGAGCTGAGTTTTGAATACCAGCAAATTCAAAAAATAAAATACAAATTTCACAAAATTTCAGGGAGAGAAAATTCACTGCACGATTCAAACAAATGACAGACTACCAAATGGACAGAATATTACAATGCCAAATCAACGTCAGGCTGGAATGCAGAAAGATGAACTGAGGGCTGGAGGCAATACACATATCAAGTGAGGCCCAGGTGGATTGCAACTTATGTTTGCCTCATCAACCTCCGGCAATCCCAGTTGCGGAGGGCGGACATATCCAGCAACCAGTGGCAAGCATAAAATAGTTATCTCTATCCGTGAACCTATTAGAAACATCATGGTATTTTAGCCATGCTCCAGAAAAAAACAATTCAAACCAATAGCTAGCCATTGAAAACTAGATGCATGCAGCATGTACTGAATACTGCAGCAGTTAGGAATGGACTCCATAGCGATATATTTGTCTAGTCAAATTTTGGGTAGGTATGTAAATTTAATCAGCTAGTTGGATTAATCTCAATAGTTGGATCAACTGACATTTAAAAATAGCTACGTATTCAGTATTTTCAAATCCATCGTACCAATTGTATAGAAAGCTAAGTCCAACTTTTTATAAAACTTGTCTAATTTCATAAATTTACTAGTGATGACTCAAATACAATTTCTAATTTAGCAAGTGAACCATAGCCAATACCAAATAAATGTCAAAGGGAATATAATAGAAATGGAAATAATAACGGTCCACCTCGTCACATTTCAGTAAATTCTCAGAACCGTAATTAGTTGTAGGAACAAGCTCAACTCCAAATAAGGGAATTGACCAATACCTATCAGTAATCACAATAAAATGCAGGACAACTTAAATTTTCAAGCTGTTTCCTTGAAATATTTTCATAACATAAAATAACATGAGAACCAATGGAATACAATATGTAATTATCTTAATTAGTTCAAAAATCAATGTACGCTTTCTTCGAGAAGGTAATTATCGATCAGGAAATCAATAGAGTTTTCAAGTTGCACTCAAAATTTATGACTTCAGAAGGCTAGTTTTCCTCAACTAGAATGACACCTGACTAAAGAAACAACTAGAATGCTAGTATCATCTCTGACAATTATTTGGTATCACAACCTATATCTTAACCCTAGTATTTCTACTTCATTAAATAAACCCAAATATCTTCAATACTGCAATATATTATTTAAAGAAGAAAGCATAAAATAACATCTATATTTTAGATAAAAACCGGATGAAAAGAAATCAGGAAACTGGACAGGACCGACCAGGAAACTAGGAACTGTGCCTAAATCAGGTCCGGTCAGTTCATAGGGTAAAAACCAGATGAAAAGAAATCAGGAAACTGGACAGGACCGACCAGGAAACTAGGAACTGTGCCTAAATCAGGTCCGGTCAGTTCATAGGGTAAAAACCAGATGAAAAGAAATCAGAGCAAAATCCGGTGAACCGGGTACAATTTCCCGGGTTCAATGGCTGATTTTGTGTCCCCCCCCCACCAAA